GCCGTTACAGATGTCTTCGTATGCCATTTGGTCTGAAGATGTCACAAGATATTTTCCAAGCGAATATCGATCAGACCTTTGAAGGGTGCAAAGACATTATCGCGATTGCAGACGACATCGTAGTTCATGGGAAGTTAGAAGAAGAACAGGACAAGCAGATTCGTGAGATGTTGCTCAGGTGTCGGACCACTGGCCTGAAGCTTAACCCAGACAAATGCAAGATTAAACAGCAAAAGACCAAATTCTATGGTGTCATATGTGTTGAAGATGGAGTAGAGGCAGATCCCGAGAGAGTCTCAGCTCTGAAGAAGATGGCACCCCCTACTACCAAGCAAAAACCAAAAACGTTTATTGATTAGCAACGTACATGAGTCCTTTCATGTCCGAGTCTCAGCACCCAGACAGAACATTGCTTTCGATTGGAACCCAGCAAATCAGCAAGCCTTTGTTGCAATCAATGATGCCATTAGTGCAGAGACTACACTTGCGTATTACGACCCAACGGAAGAAGTCACATTGCAAGCTGATGCCTCAACAACTGGTCTTGGAGCTACCTCATTGCGGGACGGAAAGCCAATTGCCTTTGCCAGCAAAGCCCTAACAGACACTGAATCACGTTATGCTAACATTGAGCGAGAGCTCTTAACCGTGGTGTACGGATACGAGCGTTTTCACACCTACCTCAACGGCCGAACTTTCATCTCAGAATCTGACCACAAACCGCTGCAATCTATCCACTTTAAAAACCTGATCTCAGTACCCCCAAGGCTGCAAAGGATGTTCCTGCGCTTACAGCCATCTGACGCAACTATCAAATATCGACCTGGCAACCAAATGCAGATAGCCAATGCCCTCTCAAGGCTCTCACCAGAAGAAGGCACGCCAATACCCGATCTTAATGCGCAGATTCGTCATGTATACCCACAGTTTTAAAGTGAATATTTGCAGAAGATCCTGGCTGAAACGGCCAAAGACCCAAAGCTCGCTGCTCTCAAGGAAGTGGTGTTTAATCGTTGGCCCGCTACAATGAAAAGGCTACCTACATTCATACGACTCTATTAGTCTTATCGCCGAGAATTGTCTATCGAAGACAGCTTGACTATGAAAGGCCACCGAATACTGAGTCATCCCGCAGGTGCTCCAGGGAGACATCCTATGTAAACTACATGCAAGTCACCAAGGTACAGAGAAGACCAAGTTAAGAGCACGCATATCAGCATTTTGGAGGAACTTGAACACGGATATTGAAGAAATGACCAAGTCGCGTAAAATATGCTAGGAACTCCAACCGAAACAAGCAGGAGAACCTCTCTTATAAACCGAAGTACCACCTAGGAACTAACATATTTTACCTTGACGGTGACGAATACCTTCTGATTGCAAGTACCCATTTGTCAAAAAAAATTCCAAAGGGCCACAGCTAGTAATTGTATGGTTGATCTAGCCAAACAGATCTTCAGCGAATAAGGCCTCCCACAAGTCGTGAGATCAGACAATGGACCCCACTACCAAGGACACAACGGTCAATTTTCAGAGAAGTATGGGTTCAATCATGTAACAAGTTCACCCAACTACACTTGGAGAAATGGGTTCATCCAAAGCCAAATCAAAACCGTCGAGAAGGTCTTAAAGAAAGCCAAAAGGTCCAACTGAAACCCAAATATTGCCCTTCTGTGCCTCCGAGCAACACCAATCGAGAGTAATTTGCCATCTCCAGCAGAGTTGCTGTCAGGAAGAAAGATACAGGACAACTTATCCAGGAGGATCCAGATTAACCGCAACAGTGACAAGGTCATCAATAGAATACAAGAGAGACAAGCATGTCAGAAGTTTTACCACGATCAACATGACACTGCTTTACCCAGCCTGATTCCCGGACAAAACGTAATCATTCCGAACCCATAGGAATGGAAGCCACCCGTGGTACTGAATTAGGTAGAGGGAGCCCCTCGATCTTACATTGTGTCCACATCAAGTGCAAGGGAGCTACGCAAGAACAGATCACAAATACGACAAATCCCTCAAACACAACCTAAACATAATAATTTGGATATAT